ACTTTGTTTAACGTGTGTGTGTGTGCTTTTGAATTAAATATGTACCCTGTGTGGGAGTGTCTGCTTGTGCTTTGTTTTTTTTTTCTTCACTAGATTAAAACTCTCCAGTGTATTACTAAACAAACAACACAATAACACTTTGTGTTTAGCTAAATAGCAGATAAAGAAGAAAGGACAAAAAAACAAGGTCCTTTTTAATCCACTTCAACTCTCTTCAAAATCTGTATTTAAAGAGGCTTATCCTCATTGCTCAGCTGTAGAATTAGTTTTACTTCAGCGTCACAAACATGTCTGAAAAAATTGAGAGGTGCTTAGCCCTTTWATTGATTTAATTAGTGTTTTTTATTTTAATAAAGCTTCTGGAAACTCTCATTGATTCACCTCTTCTTCACAGAAGAAATAAAGTCTATTATAATAGTATTTTGCCTCCTGCTGACTGCAATTGAGAAACCATTAATGGATCGTAATTACTCCCTGGAAACAGACAGAAAACAGTGTGAGCACGAATCATAATTGGTAGAATTTCTTGTTGTACCTGYCTTGCTAATGGGATATTCATTTTACTATTGCCCTTAGATTCATCTGTTGTTCTTGTACACTTGAGTGTGAAAAAACTAAATGTTTTCCTGATGGGCAGTGTGTGTGCCATACATTTGTATTTTAGATTTAAAGAAACGCTCCGCATCAATCATCATCACTTCAGGAGTCTTTAAATATTTTTTTGCTAGAGGAAGTTATTAGATCAGAAAGAGCTCAGGAAATACTGTCATTAGGATTTACATCAGTCTAAATTATGGCTGTGTTCTCTGAGTCACAATGGGCCTCATGCAAGAACCGTTCGTACGCACAGATTTGTTCTTAAATTGTGAGTACGAGTGATTTAGGAGAATTTGTGGCATTCACCAATGTTTTCGTATTCTAAGATTTTCTTCAGATAGGAACAAAATTCACGAGTGGTCCAGACCTGTCGTACATTTTACCAGCAGTCAGTCTGCTGTTATCCAGACTGATTTTCCTCCCTAATAACTTTATATTTCATTAGTTTGAAGATATTTTGAGTTGAAAATAAATCACACTCTATGATTATCTTGACAATAGGCTATTCTGCTTGAATTAGAGTTATAATTTTAAATGTAATAATTTAGACTAACAATATAAATTGTCCGTTCGTCCGTTTCTCCCCACTTATCCGGGATTGGGTCGCGTGGGCAGCTGCAGAGAGACCCCGCTCTCCCCAGCGACACTTTCCAGCTCGTCCCGGGGGACTCCGAGATGTTCCCAGGCCAGAGGGGATATATGATCAAGTCCTGGGTTTTCTCCAAAGTGCCAGACATATTTTGAAAACATTTTAAAATGCTTATTTCAAACCCGCATCTGAGACCACCTGCGACCACGCAGCGCGCGGAGGGATGGAGTGGGTGTGGTGTACGGTGCGCAACGGTGTGGCTTCTGAATGAACGAAAATGATTTAACACAGTTGTTTATACTTTCAGCAGCTCTTTTTATTCCACAGCTGAGCTGCTAAAAATGACAGATTTTCTTTTCTGGATCTCTGACAGATGGACTTCAATCTCTGAACTCGTAAAGTTTTTCTTTTTAATTTTCGCTGTCATTTTCATGAATGGACACTTCCTGATATCTGTGGCAGGAAACATAGCCTTATATGGTGTTTTTGGGGTGGTAATTATGCTAATCTCCTCTCGCGTGCACAAGCAGCTGGATAGAACAGGTGGAATTTACGCAGCTCATTTACACACTTTTCCTGAAGATAGAAGAGTTTGTTGAATCTGACGTGGCATGGTCGTACGAAGGGTTCGTATGAACAAAAGTAAGAGAAATTTAGGATAAGAATACGAACATGTTCTTGCATGAGGCCCAATATGTCACAATGAGTGTGCAAATCAAAAATCTCTGAGTAAAATTATGTATCAGAAATTACTTTGCGCAATAAAGAGCAATGAAAGTTAACCTTTTTATATTCAAATGAACACCTGTTGAAATTGTCTATGATGAAAAAAGGAATATATTGGGGAGAAAGTAACATTGTTTTTGGTGATACTTCTAAATACGTAAAAGCCCCGTCCACACATAAGCTGTGCTGCAATTCAGAGGCTGCATCCTCTCGTAGTAGGGTGTGGTCGTCCAATCATAAGTCATCTGAAGATTAAACCATCTCCTTTCACAGCCGAGGGTGTCACCTATGTGTGAGTGGTCCATAGGCTGCAGCCCCTGAAGACAATGTAGACAATGTAGATGGCTAAAATACGACCTTTTAAAACTGATGATGTACACTGTCCTCCACCTCCTGCCTAACCTTTGATCATATTGTGACAAAGATAACTTTGATTACACATGACATTTTCATGTTTGTGTTGCAGATGTCAGCAGCTCAACTGTTTTCTTTCCATGAGCTAAGGACAAAAGTGTTTTTGTCACTAAATTGAACATTTTATTAGCAATGCTAAAAAGGAAATATTGCAGAAAGATACTGAATAAATAAAAATCTAATTCAGTGTAAAGCGTGTATCCTGATATGCTTTGAGCATTGTGAGGAAGACCTTTCTCTCACTAGATACTGTTCTTGAAAAGCAGCTATTATGTCCAAACTTGGGCACAAACCCGAGTCAGTATTGTTATACACTTTTGTGGTCTTGTAGTTTAATGTGACTCTCTAGCCTTTGATTTTCTGTCTTTTCTCTCTCATTTAGACCCCTTTCTACAAGAAATGTCAAAAACAATTTTAGACAAAGGGAGAGTTTTAACAATGTGTTTACTTTTTTTTACAAAAACAAGGAAGAAACAGGCAGGGTCCTTATTGTGTCACATTTTCTACAGCTCAGATAATTCCATATTGTATCAAACACATCAGTCTCATCCATTTACAAGTCTAGTGAACAAAAGAAACGTAGTATCAACTAAAATAAATGCTCCTAAATATCAGTATGAATCTAACAACCATCACAGTCTTATTTTCTCAAAAAAGGGGGGGGAAGAAACAGGGGGATCCCCCTGCCATTTTGGTCCCTTTTTTGTATCAGTTGGCACTAGCGTGTTTTCTACAGAGACCCACTCCAGTGTAAGAGTAGCAGCCAAGCAGCCTCTCCTCCGTCTTGGCTCTAACTGTGCGTGTATCCATCTGGGTCTGTCTGTTTGTCAATAGACTCTCATTCTTCATCAGAACAAGTGTAACCAGCCAAATCCACATAAGCTCATTATTAGAGGTACAACAGAACTAAGCTCGAGAGCAGTGTGTTGTTTTGCTTCCAATTACTGCTTGTGCAGAGCAGAGATGGAAGCTGGCCAGGCCTTTCAAGGCAGCTGTAAACGGCCCGAGCACCGGGAGTCAAGTAGAAAGATTGAAAGACAGCACTGGTGCGTTGAGACTGGTGACGTGTCAAAATTAACATCAATGCATAGGAATTATTCATAAAAGCTACAGAAAGCAAACTATTATGAAAAAAAATGACTTTAATTGATTCACCTATTTACTTTGCTCTGATGCATTTTTCTGTCATGAATAATAGTTTAATGCCGTTTGCAGTAGGGGGGTTAATAACACCAGCTGGTAATATACATGCACAGTTGCAAACTGTGTTTGTACTGCCAGAACAATTAATGACTAATGTTTTTTACTTTTCTGATACAGTTGCTTATTTCACATGAATTAGCATGAACTTTGCATGTTTTTTTTTTTCTTTTTGATGTTGAAGCTGGTTCTATACATTCATGCCAACAACATTTTATTGGACATTATTTACTGCTAAGGGCTTTTAATWACAATTAGTGTTGCTGTACTTAGCAACGTTATTTCATTTCATTAATTTTATTCTGGGAAATTCAGAGTTTAGAAACCATCTGTGACGACAAACTGCTCTGAATAATTTTATAGTGAGTGACATCAAGAAGGAAATGAAGTAAAATAAAAATTAAGACCTTTCAAATAATAATTTTGCCAGCATTATATTTAGAAAATCAAGACATATTCCTTTGATTCAACTTAAAATTAAAGTTACACATGAATGAAAAAAAAAAACAAGTCACAAACACAACATCTTTCTTATTGGGTTGTGAAGAAGGATGTTTGGGGGATTTCAGTTTGAGGAAAGAAAATACTTCTAAAGCAGTGGAGATTTTTCTGCATTTTTACTCTTATTATTAAGAATGCAACATTTCAAAAATAAAAAAAATATTTAAACTAACAGAATCCATCAATTGAGGATATTTTTAGCTTGTTTGTTAAAAAAAACGTAATGAAACAGTTGCTTATATAAAATGATGTGCTTAAAGAAGTTCTATAAATAAACAGATACGAAGAAAACAGGAGTTTATGAACATCTTACTGATGTCACTATGCAGAAATGAATGTAGATGATGCTGAAAAGGTGAGCAGAAAAAAATGCATGTCTAAGGAGGTTTTCTACATGCAGAGTATTATCAAAGAGAAAACAAAAATAAAGGGCAAACACTTTGCTTGCATTGAGTGCAAATGGACTATAAAGATGGTCTGTAAATGGATTAAACATAAATACATTAAAATGTGCAATCATTTATCTTTCAAATTAGAAGGTCATTACTTTAATACAGTAAACAGCATTAACGTTTGATGGCTGTTAATAAGTGATTATGTCTTACAATATTTCATATTCAACAACAAAACTCTGACGGAAAATGACTAGCTCATCTATAATAACAGTTAGGACCAAATGAGAAAGTTCAATTCATTTGGTGTTTTATTATTGCTTCTCATTAATGTCTTCTCACTTTGATCTGTGCCATAAAGTGTGCCATTATTCACAACAATGCATGGAATGAATAGATTTCAATGATTGTTCTGAAATGAAACAATAAACTACGGGTAATTAATTTACTCTTTAAGTGTCTGAGTGTGTTGCTTGTGTATTAAAATGTAAAGCTTTTTGTATTACTGCTAAGATTTCATTGGCTTCATTAGCTCTGACTAACATGGTCCTTCCACTGTGTTTGTTTGTTCTCCTCAACAGGAACACTTTACAAATGAGTGCAAATTTAAGGAGTCAGTGTTCGAGAACTACTACGTGACATACTCGTCCATGCAGTACCGGCAGCAGTCAGGCAGGGGCTGGTACCTCGGTCTGAACAAGGAGGGAGAAATCATGAAGGGAAACCACGTCAAAAAGAACAAACCAGCAGCCCACTTCCTTCCTAAACCTCTAAAAGGTAAGCCTCCGTAGATCCCTCTTCACATTTTTTTACTGCTTAGGTTGTGGTTAGATCAGAATTGCAGGTGTCAATCATCGATGTGGTYATAGCTGTTACACCCAAAACTTTGGAAAAAAAACTGAACAAAATGAGAATCATATGTGATATAAAAGGAAATGTCTGACTAAACACTGGCTGTTTATAGCTACAAATAATTAGAAACTTGAAATATTTACTGACTAGATATTTGACTGAATGGTCACAATAAAATACCCCTCAACCTCAGTGTCCCTCGGAATGAGAAACCTAATAAACCTAAATGTAAATACTTTTAATCTTTGCACAATTTTCTTGAACTAAAACACGCACTACTCTCCTCATTAATATTCTGTTTCGTATCCYTCTCAGAGATGTAGTCATGTGCCTTTTTGATAGTTTCCTCCAGCTGGTCACAGTCTGCTGCAGGCTCGGTGCAGAATGAGGTTGAGCCACCGACTGTAACCAAAAGCTGCACAGACGATATGTTTTAGTGCCGTGAATAGTAGCTCCAGCGCTTTATTTTCCTAACAGCAGATTTACAAAGAACCCCACCCAACCAGGCAATGTGCGTGTGTGTGTGTGTGTGTGTGTGTGTGTGTGTGTGTGTGTGTGTGTGTG